GTTTTGCATGCATCGTCAGGTAGCAAATGGGTAAAGCAAGGGGAACATCAATGATCAGGTAACGATCATTAAAGACTACTGATGATAGAAATTCAATGGCAATCTCCAGTTGACGCTTCGGAGCAATGCGTTGCCTTTGGATAGTGGTATTCTATGAAAGAAGTATTTCGAACCAATACGTTCATCACAGCATTAAACACTATGAGGCAATTTTCACGAAAACTGCAATTGAAAACGACACAATGGCAGGCTGGTACGCTTGTCGCACATCGCCGATGATTCTCTGACTAAGTATTTGAATCAAGCCTTTGGAAATGTAAGGAAAATGGGTCCTTCAAAAAATTAATGTTAAAAACTACCGTGTGACTAAACTCAGCCTCTTGCGCGTTAGAGTCAGTAATAAACTGTTTGTTCAGCGGTTTGAGTATTATAATTTAGAACCAGAGTTGTATGTCCTTTGTACGTGGTACAGTGATAAACGGCAAAACTGCCTGAATGTCAAAAATGAGAAACTGGTCAACCGCCTGGAAAACAACGGTTTCAGTCAAATCCGATGAAATACTAATCGACGTAGGAATTTTCAGCCTTGTCATATGATCCAATGATATGCCCAAGTCAAGAGCTAGAAAATGTGCCACATCTGGATCGCATTCGTCATGGGTTTTGTTGTTAATAGACTTTTTCCTCCTCCGATTGGTTGATGCGTGGAGAAATTGGTAGAGGGGCTGGGTGTCACCTTTCGCCTTCGGTAGAACTGATCGATCGAGGATCATTCGAGTACCAAGCGTCTGTCACCAGTCGATCGACGCTGGTCCGTTTGATCCCGCTGACGAAGCGCCTGTATCGCCAACAGGAGACGTTCACAATGTGCTGGAAACAACTGCGAAACGCAACTTACTAAATCATCGTCTCTGAAAGTGTGACGACAGCTATCGAGCATAGCGTTTCACAGCCTGACGTTCGTCATGGCGTTATGTCATGTGTGCGCGGGCCTCTGCAGCGTGCGCTGGAGTCATTGTCACTGAAAAGTTGTCGTCGTTACGACTCGGTACCGCCGACGGACTGTACGCAGTGCATACTAACTCATCAGAC